TTCCTTCCAAGCATTTTAAAGAATTCAACTAAAGCACAGTCTCATTTCCTTTAATGTCCCTAAAAACACGAGTTCAATTCCTAACTTTAGAAGCACATTTTATAGATTGTTTCTATATTGGATGCGCTAACTTGCAAACTATCATTTTCTGAAGACGATCTGAAAATAAAACTGTGAGTTGGTGATCATTGTTTGGAAGTTTGATTCAATTCTGAGCAATACTCCAGGAGAAATGGCGATTCTAGTAAATCATGGACCAAAACGAACAAACTTATGAGATAAGAAAAAAATCCAGCAAAGACCTGACACAGGACCTGAGAGACACAGCTATCATTCAGTCGATCCATTTATTGTTAATTAAAGCCTCATCACAAATGGTCCCAGTGGATGGGTAGCTGTCAGGAAGCAATGCTTAAGGAAGGGGAACTGGGAGAAAAAGCTGAGTTGTGCCAAAAAACCTCCCCACAAGACTGAAAATTAGTGGCAACTGATCTGATGGAGTGATGAATCCAAATGTGAAGTTTTTGGTTCAGTAAGTAAGGATGAGCTCAGGAGAGAGGTACAATAGTGAGTATCTACAGTCATCTGTAAAACACGATGCTGGCTCCTTCGATTGTTTGGGACTATATTTGAACCAGTGGTGTTGGGGATCTTTCAAAATTTATGGAAATATGAACAAAGAAATGTGCCATCAGATTTTAATCCACCATGTAATACCATGTTGAAAGCATCTGACTGGCAGTGGCTTTTTCAGCAAGACAATGATCCCAAACACTGCCAATGCAGTAAAAGCATACCTGGATAGAAAAACACACAATGGAACATTTATCAGTCACGGATTGGCCTCCCCAGACCCGGCATCTCAACATGAATAAAGAGTGTGGGATCATCTCGACAGAGAACAGAACAAAAATCAGCCAACATCCAAAGAAGAGCTTTGAATGTCCTTCAAGAAGCCTGGAGAACTATTCCTGAAGACAACTTAAAGAAATTAGAAGAAAGATCACCCGAGAGAGTTCAGGCTGTGTTGAAGAATAAAAATTGCTACAATTGTACAAACTCTGTTTTTGCCTTAACATACTGTATTTCCATCCATTTTTGCACACGTTCCAATAACTCACTCTGACTATTTCCCATTTTCCGAGCAAAATATAAAGAAATGAGTGATTCAAAACTTTTGCACAGTAATGTAAATCTGATATAGTAATTGATTTAAGAATATTTTGGCGATCGTGAGAGACTTTGATATAGATGACCATTTACTTATGATTTAGCAAGACTATAATTAAACAAAAAGAAAATCCCCTGCTCTGTGATCAGTCCATCCATCCACTAATGCTCATTTACTGCTATTTTAATCCATTATGTTATGCAGATACGATCAACCCTTACAGACATTTAGACGATGAATGTATTTTACCACAAGATACTTTAAACATGCCTTCTTAAATCGCATAAACTCAATGCTCCTGAAACTTCTCTCATCTCATAATAAATCATTGCAGTAAAACCGTTCACTCCACCATTCTCTCAAAGCTGCATGCACAGGATCATTCTGCAAACGCAGTGCAAATAACACAGGTGTAATTGCTGTCTTGTGACTTTGCAGTTGAAAAGTTTTAGCAAAAACTTGGTGCTTAGCAGCACAACGTGTAGGGAAAAAGGGGCTGAACCAGCCTCCGCCAGCTGTTTCTTTCTTTCTTCACTGTTTCTGCAGTGTGAAGGGCTTGTCGGTGTTTTCCAGCAGTCCCTCCCTTCTGCAAAGCTTCCCAGGTGTAACGGCTGACCTGCCAGATTGAACCACATCAAACCTCACGAGCAGGAAGCTTTCCTTCACTGTTATTACTGAGATAAAGACCCTGTGTTCAGCACTGCGCTATTGTCATCCAGCCCGCCACAAATTTATGTTTATATGTCTCCCAAGAAAATTGTAAGAAGATAGAGACAGCTTCTAAAAAAACCAGAAAAAAGTTTGTATTAATATTTTTATTTTCTTTTGTACTGTTTGTGTTACTTTGTGTTCCACACACAAAAGCTCAGGAAAGGCAAACCACCATCTTCAGCCACAGATCTTCATCTCTCTTCATCTCTTTGACCTGTTTCTACACCACCTTTCCAGTAAGTGCCTCTGCTGCTTCCCGCTAACTACTAGCTTTGCTTGTCTCAAAGAGTAAAATCTGAGTCTATCCTTCTTTCACTTCTGCCTCTTCCTCACCGTGAAATATTCTTCCCAGGCGGTACCGGCAGTTTCCACCAACATTAACCATCAGACATGAAAGCTTTGCTCTGACTGGAAAATAACACAGCAAAGTCTCAGGTCTAATTATGCTGGTTTAGTTTATGACCTGGCAGCTCATGTCCATTATCTTCCCCTCCAGCCTTTAAACTTCACCTTGCTCATCACTTCCCAAACCAGGTGGGGATCAGTGCAGTCTTCACTTTTCTTTTTTCTGATGGTTCTCCAGACTGCCTGTTCTCATTCCCAGGCCAGCTAAGAGATTCACACAGGGTGTCTTTTGGCATCTGAGGCATCATGTCTCACTCTTAACTTGTTAGGTATAAAAATGTAGTTGCTTTCTTAGAAGCCTTTCATCTCTCTTCAAGTACACCTTTAAAACGTGCTGGGTTAGAGCTGAGTACTTTTTGGATTTATGAAAAAACAAAATAAAACAGAGCATTCTGGATGAGAAACTTTTGATGTCTGCCACCTTTGTGCCTAACTATATAGACTGCTAGTGATACTAAAAACACAGCAAGTGATATTATTTGGCACATAACTGCATAAAAATCCTCCAAACTTCAAAACTTAGAGGATTAAAGATCAAGCCTTGCAAGCAGCTGGTAACATCGACCTGTCACTCGTGTGCAGATTAGGCAGTTTTAACAGGTGAGTAAGAAGAGGGAAAATTAGTAACCAAAGGTTTTTTTAAAAAATTATTTTCATGTACACTTCTACTGTACAGGTGGGTATTTTAACGTGTCTCTAAGACTGACCATTCCATGAACTGCAGTCTTTGGCACCTCTGCACAAACACATGCTAGCTGTTTGATCTATGCCATCCATTTGGACCATGAATTAAAAAGAATAATAATTACTTCTTGACATGACTAAGATAGAAAACAATGTTTTTATGTTGTATGTCATGCTTATTGTAAATGAATCCTGCAGGGTAACTTATAAAAGCAAACTTTGTCTATAAAACATAGTCATATTTGGCTTTCCTGTTATGCAGAATTTACATATTTCTAGAGACAGTTACATTGTTCCATTGCACTTTGAATAAAGTAAGGTGCTATGGATGGCACACGCTAAAGTGGTTCTGTGAGTTTTAGACTCCGTAAGCGCTTTAGTAAGTGCTTTGTTAAGCATGCTCATTACTCACTCTGAAGCCTAAAATAATGCTCATTTCAGAGCACTAGACCACATCCAGCTAAGCTTCTCAGACTAATGAACACACACGGCATCAAACTGATTGCATTTATATGCTTGGTGTATTATGCAGAGTTAGAGAGCTTGCATGTATATTTTCTGGGACTGTTGTGGAGGGCTGCACTGTTGAACTGAATTCAGTATTGAACTGAATTAAGTATTAGTATGTGTCTAGTTATATGCTTTATGTAATTTTTCTATTAATATTGTTATTGACATTATTATTGTTATTACGCAGCTTTCCACAACAGTCCCAGTTTCTCATGTGACTCCTTAGGAAAATTAATTGCCCACTCAGCAATATAATTAGAGAGGCATTTCATTGGTCCAACATAGCCAGGCATATAAAAAATGAACTTCAGTTACAGGAAAAGAAAAACTAATTGCCACCACAGAGTCTAAATCCACAAACAAAGCTGCCTGCCAACTACTGAAGAAAAGATTTGTCACAGAATGTACTTTGACGTGACACTGTAGAAAAATCACAGCTGCTGTTAGCAAAATGAAAGCAGTCTCAGTCCCATTCATCATTGATAATGGGAAAACCTGCACTTTTCCTACGGACAGCACAATAAGAACGTTTTGAAATAGAGGTTTGGATGCCAATGATCAAATAGTTAACTGTAATATTGTGTAAATGCATAGCTGATTTCACAGTCATGCTGATTGCCTTCATTTTTCTTATCTTAAAGACCCACTAAACATGTGAGCAAGTATCAGAGACAGAACTAGAAGCGATTGCCTTTGCAGAAATGGACATTCCCGGCATTTCTGAAGCTGCTGTTTCTGTGAGAGCGGAAATGATCCGTGACTGAAAACGCCGAGCTCCCGAGCAGTTAGCCTCTCAGATGTGAGCTTATCATCAGCTGTTAAGAGCAGTGTGAATTCCTCAGGCCTCTGGCTGCAGCCCGGAGCATTGTTGAGCTGATAGGAAGAGAGGGTGGACTGCAGGTGCAGATGTGGGCCTTACATCCAAAGCATGTGATGATTAGACCGAGAGGATCCATGTTACTACTCGTGTGAGAGAAGGATGTCATCCATCAGCGAAAAACAGAGCGGGAGACGTCAGATGAATAAAGGAGTGATGTCAAGCATGACTCAGAGTTTGCAGAAACACATTTTGATAGAAGTGTTTGGCTTGGGTGTGTCTCTCTGTTATTGCCTAATTGTGGAAATGATGGCGATCCAGTCAGCAGCTTGCAAAATTGACTTTGATTCAACAATCAACTTAACTAACTCGTGTATGTAATACTACTTCATGTTTCACTTATGCTCGGTTTTGGTTGCAGTTTCCCATGATGAGTATTTATAAGCCGCTGGATGTCAGGCTGTCAAGATGATTTACAATTTCAGGACTTGGACATTAGACAAATTTAGATTTTATGGTTATGGTATTTCTATTTTTAATAAGTTACTTCAGGACAGGAAGCTGTAACACTGCACGCCCGCTGGTCGTATGTGGTTGACTTTCAGCTGGTGGCGGGAGTTGTCCTTTTATTAACAGCTAAGCTGGCTGAGCGGTGGAGCAGCTGCAGCACAGCATTTGTCTTGTAGTGTTATGTAGTCTTACCAAGTTTCTGAGGAACAGCACGGTTACCAGGCTGCCACAATATCTCCCACCGGACAGTCGAGAGGAACTTCCCAGAAGATCAAATCTATTCAAAAGAAACAGAAATAGGGTGTAGCTGTGGGTGTGTTGTGGATGCACACTATCATGTCAAAAACCACTTGCTTGACGGTCAAAACTAGAGGAGAAGTCAAATCAAGGATAAAACAAGAAGCGCACACCTCTGCAGAGGCAACTCACTCTCTGGGGAGCATTTACTTTTAAGGGAATAACGCTGTATTTAGTACATATTCATTTTGTTTTCGCCTTTCTGTTTAAATGTGCTTTAAGAAGTTTGCAGTGCAGCAAAAATCAGATAAGAGCGACGTGACAGATGTTTACTTTGATTACACAAACATTATGTAGGAGTAGATATTGATTAAGTAAATAAGTGGACACGAATAACGTGAACTTAATATGTAGCATTATAATACGGTATATGTCTAACTGGCTGGCAACACTCTCTTTAAAGGTGTAACAAATTTGGGGATCAGCTTAAAAGTAAGGCAGATGTGAAATGTAAAAGTGAGGTAAAATGTGATATTTAGAATCCCCATATCCTCGTAAAACCCCGCTATTAATTTTTGTCCTCTGTTGGGGGATATGAGACTGAGACCGCTACACCAAGCACCTTTTATGCAACCTATATGACATCCTGGGCTTCCATATTTTATGGCCACAAGGAAGGTTAAGTGATACTTCTATTGCTTAGACTCAAATTTCTTCAATTTGAGGATCTTAACTTTAGTAAGAGTTCAGAAATGCACCCCATTCAAAGTGAAACTTGTATTCAGTGTCCTTTGTAGTGGATAGCGGGACTTATAGCTCACATTTTTAACCATGAGGAAGCAGAGGGCAGGATGAGGCAGAAAGGATTTTACTCAGGACGGGGAGTCAGTCTGTCAGAGAAGAAGGTGGAGGAGGGCCAGACATCAGAGCAGGAAGGTGAGTGCTCAGTTGACATATTAGCTTTTGAGGAGTCTAAGCTGGCACCGACTGTCTGTAATAATAAGAACTGTTTAATGTAGGGCTCTGAAGGTTTGGGGGGAAATACACACCAGCTCAGAGTTTGATTTCTTCTTTTATCCTGTGGATTTATGAATTTATTAATATCTATGCTAAAATGCATTAAACTGTAGGTCTTCTGTCTTTATCAATTCAGTTTCAATCATACTGGAATTGGGTTGCAAATATTTTGAAAACAGGACATTACTACCCAAAATCACCACAAAGGACGTCCTCTCATTACATTGAACAGAAAACAGGCAACCAGGTTTTAGAAAAATAAAGTCAGAGCTCACAAACAAGGGGGTGGTGCTCATCACTGAACTGAAAGTAGCATTAATACCATACTGAAACTGGGTTGATTTGTTTTTAATGACACATGAAAACAGGACAATGCTGCAGTATTTAAACTGAAAAATACTTAAACTGACAACCCATCACCTGACAGTGATGGGTTGGAGGTTAGAGTCCACTTCCACAGTTATGTACAAAATATTTCTCTGCCCCACTAAGCCATTATGTGATCAAACAAGACCTGATGTCCAGAAGATATTAAAGACATTTTGTGAAAGTTTGACCTTATTTGACCTTGAAGAACAGGTTAGAGGTCCGAAGTAACGTGATATTAAAAATCCACATATCCATATCATTGCCCGTATGCCCATATGGTGCCAATACAAACAATGGCAGTAAAAACATAGTTTTAAATAGCTCTATACAGCATTATTATCTCTTTACCGATCAATCATACTTGATATTTTTAATCTTTTTCCAGTAATTTAAGTTGACTATACACACGGCTTTTTGTCATTTTCCAACCAATAAATTAATAATTAAGTTGACACTGAAGACCTTGATGGACTTAAGCCAAATTTGAATGGTGTCATGGTTGTTGACAGAGTGTTTTGTGTTATTTATAGTCATTGATTTCATTATTTATGATTTTCTCTTGGTGTCTGCTTCTGTGCGCCTCCAATGCTCCATGTTCCACGTTCCCTGTCTTCTCAGTCAGTGTCATGTCTGTGTCTTTGGGATTCCTGGTTCTTAGGTTTTGTCCCTTTGCCTTCCATGTTTAGTGTGTCACATCTCTAGTGTAGGGTTTGTTCTTTCTATGTTTAGTCATCTGTCTTCCCTCTCAGCCGTGTCTCGTGGTTAGTTCTCGGTCGCCGTGCTTGTCCTGTGTTTCCTGGTTTACTTTGACAGTGGGGGAGCCTATCCCAGATGCCACAGAGTAAGAAGTGGGGTACACCCTGGATACACCTCTAGTCTGTCACAGTACTCTTTAAGTGATTTTGCTTACATAAATTTATCACAAAAAGACAATTTTTAGAAGATCAGTTTGATTCGAGTTCAGCTGATCGCAAAGATCACACCTACACATGCTGTTATTCCCTATTACTTACACTATTCAACCACTAGAAGGGGCATTCTTTCACACTCATTTTAGAGAAGATCCTTTACACAATTACACTGACTAAGAACTGTGTACACATGTCAGGCTGAAAGAAAAAGTCTTAATCTACCTTCCAATGTTTCACAGTAATCTAGATTTTCAGGGTAAATAGAGGAAGGAATTCACAATATGCACGAAAGTTCTGCTTTTGTTGTTTCTCTGTTAGACGGCAGTGTGTTGAAATGTTGCATTTTGTTGTAACTCGGATATGAACACGGAAGAGCTGAACGTTTACCCCATATAGCAGAACAGTAAGTTCGCGAGCGAGTTTGGGATTTGTTAAGACAAATCCATGAGACCTGAGTGTTTGAAGGCCTGCATCATACTCAGTGTACTATACGGGCGTTTCTGTAAACTGTATTTTAGGATTTCCGAAGGTGAAGGACCTGTGATGAATGTTTAGAGGGAACAAATGATCTAAATACCAACTTCTCGTCTGAATGAAGCCAGCGTTGTTGCTGTTGTTCTCATTTGTCTCCTTCAGGGACTCCACTGAAGTCTTGTTGGAGACAGCGGCCTCATCATCAGTTTTGACTTCCACAGTGGACTCCACAGGTGCAGGAGGCTCAGCTACATCCGCTTTGGGCTTGTCCTCAGAGCTGTCTGGAGCGGGAGCAGGAGCTGGAGTTGCAGACTCAGTGCTGGGATCAGCAACAGATTTATCAGTCTCAGCTGTAAAGGACAACAAAAGCAGAAAGCACAGCTGTTTTTTGTGGTTCTCAAGATAAAAAACAGTGATTAAAATAAATGGAAACTGAAACAATGTGGATAAGTAGAATAAACACACGGACTGAGTTTGAAAATACTGGAATGCCCCTGTATTTGTGTCATACCTTTTCGACAGAATGTTAAACTTTTGCAATAAGTTAATTGTGTGAAATTCTTGAAACATTTCTTCATTTTTTCCTTTAAATCTAGATGACATTGCAGAACCGCTGTTTGAATTATTTAGGTGCCCCATAATCACAGCATTTCCACTTAAACAGCCTGAAGTAGTTTGTCCTCAGGCATGATATTTCTTGGGCAAAAGCATTTGAGGGGGCCACCATGTTGGTAATGATGCAGCTGATTAGTGATCACTTCCTAATGAGCCACAGCCATGCAGCTGTTGGAGGCTGTGGGAAAGTAGGGCGGCCCCATTATTATCTGACCCAGTCTTAGGGAGAGGGAAAGGAGAAATTAGGGAAAGAGGAAGATGGCTGTTCTTCAAGACGTAATTGTGGAATGACTAAGCTGGCTGGTCAGTCGTTATTTGAGCCTTTGCTAAACTATTCTTCACAGGTGGATTCCTGGCATGAATCAGCCTCTAACTACTATTTCGTTTGGGTTTTAAACATGAAGCCAATGCGCAACTCTTTGCTTTTTTTTCAACTGCCACCAGGGGGCAACACATCTATTTGCAAACAACAGGTCTAACGTTCTCAGTACTTCTTCATCACCACTCTCAAAGCAAACATCACGTCTGTAGAGCTCATTCTTGACATGAAACCATGCTGCTGCTCACTGATAATCACCTCTCTTCTTAACCTTGGCTTCAACAACTAGCTTCATGGTATGATTCTTCAGTTTTATCTTCTGTAGTGACGCAGCTCTGCACATCCATTCTCCATTCCTCAGGCATGATCTCTCCCTCCAGAACTGTGTTAAACATCCTGGTTAAACGTATCTTCATACCGTCCATCTGGACCAGCTGCCTCTTCCACTCCTCTGCAAGTCCTCTGCACTTCCTGATTCACTGTCCTCCATCCGTCGTCCTTTTTCTCTCATTTCCCTTAATTATTAGCTCCTCAAAGTACTCTTTCTCAACATACTCTCTTCACTTTTTATAAGAGTTCAATGTCTATCCTTAACCACCCTAATCTGCTGCACATCCTTTCCAGTTTGAGCTCTGCCTAGCCGATCTTTACAAGCCTTTTTCTCATTTCTGTTCAGCCCCACATACAGCTCACCATAAGCCTTTACCTTAAGAGTAAAATATAGTATAAAGTGAGGAATACCTTGTAATTGAAAAAGCTGCACATGTACAGTTCTCCGATAAAAACAAAACAAAACAAAAATTATAACTTGGTTTTTTCCTACTTGTGGAAGGCTGTCGGTCTACTGTTTACCTCAGCTGTCAATGTTGGGTGAGAAACTTTATTCACTCTGGAAAAGGACTCTAAAACTATGTGAAAGGAGTGCAATGTGAATCAGCTCACTTTTGACCATGGCAGCCATACCGAGTTGAATTGTTGCTGGGGATATTCTGAGCTGTTGGTAAGTGCTACTGTTTTAGCTACTGTTAGCCTCTGTTAGCTGTTGTTAGCTTGTGTTACCTGCTGTTTGCCAGCATTAGTGAAACCTTTGAAGTGGGTCTAAAATTGCTGGACTCCACCACTAATTAAATAAAATTTCATATGACGTGAGTATGTAACTGTTTATCAGAGGAAAGGTGAGATTTTTAGGATACTCAAGCCTAATATTAACTGACATAATGTTAGCCTATAGCCAGCTGGTGTTTTTATATAGCAAACTTGTCAGCTGTCTGGAGACAGTAAGATTACATGTCTAATCTACTGAGAATAAGAACGTGCAATAATATCTGTAATTAATTAGCATTTGTGTTAGAGCCCTGACTTCAATTCAGTAGATGAGATTTTAGGTGAGGAGGAAAAGGATCAAAAGACCTCGCCTCTAATGATAAACCATAGTTATTATGCTTAATATCTTGAGTTTAAAGTTTGAGGCACAACTTACTACATATGTGGCCGGTTTTTAGCCGCAAATATAAAATGCCATTAGTAAGAAGCGAGGAGTCATTCCTGGCCACTGAATTCAAATATGGTGGGGCAGCTTCCACAAACCACAAACCCACTGCTATGTATTTTTAATAGATTTATTATAAGTTTATGAGAATGCATCGGTTTGTTGGAAGATGTAATAACACAGTGAAATGTGAAACCTAGCTGACATGTATACCAGTCAACTAGGTTTCATTTGACCAGATTCCATTTGGCATTGTAGTTATGTTACAAAGTTACACGGGACATTTACGTAGGATTTTGGGCATAAATATTTTTTTGAGTGCAGCAAAAGCAGCTGGTTAACAGCAGCTTGGATTTGTGTTTCCATTCAAGCACAGTATTGACTTACTCACAGTACAGTACAATCACTATTTAAATATTTACATAAAAAAAGGGGGGAAAAAGTGCTTCTCGTCAAGTTAACACATATAGTCTGATTCTAAATGCTGAAAAATAGAAGCACGTGTGTTCGATTTTTCAGTGGGATGGCTGAAAAAAGCACCTCAAACACTTCCTGTAGATATACCAAGCTATTATACCCACATTTGAGCAAATTATTGTGCGTTTCTAGACTGATGGCAGTTTTTATACATGCTGCCTTTCAGGTCAAGGGCTGTGCAGAGTAACTTGCTATCAAACTGACCTTTGATTGGTTCATTTCAGAGAGAGCCAGGACAGTTGCTTTCCTTGCTTTTGCTGTCAATTGTGAGTAAATCCTGCCTGCTTTGATTTGATGCTTAAACACACCGACAACACGTGAGTAACTATTGCTTTCTGTGTGAGCGTTATTTGATCTGTATATTTGAGATGTATCCACGGTTAAAACACAGTTTTCTGTTTAAAAATGGCCACTGTACAGAGAAAAAAAGAGAAGTATTTGTGATCGGTCCAAATACAAATGATAAATAATGTTGCCAACTCACTGGCCAGAGGAGTACTCGGTCCTGATAAAAGATCATAATGGGTGATAAGAGTCAGCTTTTGTGTCATTAGTTAAATCTTTCTATATAAAATAGCTGTACAGCAATTTTGATCCTGAAGAAAAATATTAAACCCAACCAAAATAAACTGTAACAAATGCACCGTTTGAATCAGTATGCAATATTTCTGGAAGTGCAAAGCTCTCTCAGTGGTCAGCAAGACAAGACAAGTGAAAAGTCTCCTAAAAACGTCAGCCCATACCCCTTTTGCACGACACGCAGTTTGCAAAAGTCACAACAATGTGCTTATCTCAATGTGTGGCTTTAAGATGCCTGTCAATGTGAGCCGCAGTCATTATTTTCTGCTACTCAGGGTCTGTGTTAGATCTGTGTCTCTGCACAAGATTATACACCACTCTATCTGACATGCAAGAAAATAGGCTGATCTTGAGCTACACCTCAATAGTGTGAATGCCTGTGAGGCATTCACACTATTGAGACCCTGTTTCTCTTTATCCTTTATTATTCTAGTTGCTCCATTTCTTAACTACTCCCTCAGTTTTCAGTCGATTTTCACCGTTCAAACTTTAAACTGTTCTGCTATTTCTGCTATATCTTTTGGTGATGATAACTTTTATACTTTTTCAGATATTCAGCCTTTTATGCCATTTTTTGGCCCATTTGCTAACAGGGACCACATTATCAGTGTGATCACTAGTTTTGCTTGCTGGGCTGAGCCACGTTTTAGCTCAGTGAGAGGGGCAGTCGTTCTCTGACCAGGAGGCCCGGGATCGAATCCCGCTTATGGCAACATTTTTTTCAGTTAACACTTCCACTGTTTAAACTCTTTTCCACACAAATTTCAGCTTTTCACCTCTTTTTGCAACATTTTCAGTTTTTCACTACTTTTCAGCACAAATTCCAGCTTCTTAAGCTGTTTTTAGCACAAACTTCAGCTTCTTTTCCTCTTTTCAGCAGAAAGTCTGCTGATTCCCCTCTTATCAGCAGTCGGATGCGCAGCTGCCGTGAGCTCTGGTGGCAAGGGTTCGAGTACATGTGACAGATGCTGCACATCTTCCCTGCTTACATGTAATCTACTTTCAGCAGAGTTCAGCTTCTACACAGTGTTTTCAACAGATAGCTCTCCTTCTTCTGCTGTTTTCAGATTCCACTACACGGCATTCACACTGCATTTTTGCAGGAAATGCAACTTTTTCTAGTTTGCTTTCAAGAGGTCTTTTTTTTGCCTCATATGCTGTATTTCCATTTATGATTGTGGATTTTTCATTAAATTGCTGCACCTGTTTCCAGTAAAATACAGAAGAAGCAACGACGGGCACAAGATTTTTTACACAGTACTATGTCATAAACTACCTATATGGAAATGACATGTGTTTAGCAGGCTTCAATTTCCAAAGCCTGAAAAGGGCGTATATGCTTGTTTCCTCTCACACCGAATTCAACTATTGCCCCCCCAAAATCAACTTTGCCTTCTTCAAATTTAAAATGATTTTTTCAAGCCCTAAAATAGTAGATATAAAAAAAAAATTTTAAACAAACAATGAAACTAACTTGCTGTCTTGACACCTCTTTTGCCCACAAAACCAACAGTAGCAGTTCCCCAAATGTCTGCAAGTGAGTGTACATTTCTAGTAGGTGCTACAGATTCTTGTCACAGAGATTAGACAACATTAGTATCAAACGTAGATGGCAAAATTTCATTTTTACTGTCACACGAGAGGGGGAAACAAACAAAAAGCAGACCCTTTTCACAACAACTGGGACAAGACATTGTTGGGGAAGGCAGAGAGACACGCCACAATGTCACACAAGGAGAATACTAGGATCGGACAAACTTTATTCATTTACAAGGAAACGAAAATATTAAAGCAACAACATTTTAATGAGCAAGTGCATGACAAAAAGGGAACAATGTTGTATATAAAAGTCACAGAAGAGCAAAAGCTCATCTCCATGATTCCCTGCACAAAGGCTTAGGGATACAGCTTTCCACAACCTCAGGATTTATTTATTTATTAGATCTTGCATCTACTTGGGTAAAGGGAAACTAACCATACTCCTTGTTTCTTAACTTAGCTCCCATTTCCATCAAGTGGTGGGCTAAAGTACTGCAGGGCATCTGTTGTGGGAGCTTTTTTTAAACTAGAAAACTTTGTTAGCTGTGCACACACACATTTCAGAATACTGGAGAACTGTGTGAGTCAGACTGGTGTGTATTGCATCAGATTTTCCCTCTAAACAAACTGACTTCATTTCATATTTTAAGTTTCGTGTTAACCGTTAAGTCAACGTCTGAGTCATGTACACATAAAGATTTCACTATTTCAATATTTACAGCATCAATGGATGTTGCTACGGTAACGTGTGAGGAGCGGTGTCACGAACAGGACTTCCTTTTTGTTCTCTTAACACATCTTAAGAAAGAGGAAGTGGCAAACACCGTTATACACTCACACCATTTTTAATCCACCAAACACATGCTGTTTATCTGAGTTTCACACACGCGGAAACCATTTTCTTTAACACATCATAACAGGAAAGGCGCTGGTGTGAAAAATTCAAAGTGAATTATTGGTACAATATCAAAAAACCGTTGTTGAAGTTGTGAGTAAAATCTGGGTTTCCTATTGTGACAAGTCAAATATTGTGAAAAAGATCCAGACAGGTTTGTTCTTACCTTTCTGCTCCTCCTGTGCTTCGGGTTTAACTTCATCTGCGCCTCCTGGCTTTGCCTCCAGTTCTTCTGGCTCTTTCGCAGTAGTTTCTGTACTTTCGAAGGTTTTCAGACCTGAAAAATATTCAGACAGGAAACATGTTTATTTATTCAGATGGAGGAACCTGGTTCAAAAAACAGAACGATGTTATATTTAAGGCGACACATTGTCTCCAGCCAATAACTGACCATTTTGAGGTGCGGTATCAACAGGAGCCACGGTGCTGAGAGGGATGTTGACTTCATCTTGTCTGGAGGAAAAATCAACTGAGTAGCGCTGAGGAGATCCAGAACACAGGGGAACGCATTAGTGCCTTTATTTAAATGTTTTTCTTTACATGCAACACAGATCCCTGGCTTAAACTGAGCAACAAAAGCTGCAGTTATATGACCATGATACCACACATTTTGAAAAAATCTTTGGACCAAACAAGGATATCAGTTCCCCGCACACTCCCAGTCTTTATGAATAAATCGCTGTCTGTACCTACATGTTTAGCAAACAGTATGAAACCCAGTCAAACCATTCTTTGTTGGGTATTGAATGTAGAGCTTCTTTACTTACTCTTCTTCTTTTCTTTGCCACGTAACAGACAAGTAAAAATGCCACAACCACGAGGATGATAATGACTACAATGATGATACCTGAAGGAGGAAATACAATTCATGTTTAGAGTGAAGCACATCTGCCAACACTGTGGCTATGCACTGTGACCCACAGACCTCCAAGTAAAGACCTACACTCACAGGACACTTCATTAGTTACACTATGCAATCAGTGATGCCTTGATTCTCCGAGGCGTAGATTCAACAGGGTGCTGAGAACATTCCTCAGAAGTTTCTGGTCCATTCTGACATTTATACAAAGCAGGATGGATCCATGCTTTTATAGCATATTGCTGACCCTACCACCAGAACGCCACAGATCAGGTAGCATTTTTCAAATTCAGTTTTCGAGTTTTGTTGAGTTGTGCAAACTGTAACTTCACTTTCCTGTTCTTATACAACAGGAGTGGCACCTGATGGGGCCTCCTGCTGCCGTTGCCCTTCTGCTTCAAGATTTAATGTGTTGTGCATTCAGAGACGCTCTTCTGCACACCTCGTGTCGAGCACAAACTGATAGTTTGAGTTGCTTTTCCCTGCAGTCAATCTATTATCCTCTCCTTCTCCCAGAGTACTGCCGCTCACTAGATATTTTCTGTTTTTCAGATCATTCTATGTAAACCCTAGAGATGGTTGTGTGGGGAAAATCCCACCAGATCAGCAGTTGTCCCAAATACTCAATCCTGCCCCAACAATCACATGACATTTAAAGTCACTTAAATAAAACTTTCTTCCCATTCTGACGCTCTCTTGTTCATGCACATGCCTAAATGCATTGAGTTGCTGTCATGTGATTGGCTGAGCAGATATTTGATCGATGAGCAGAAGAACAGGTGGACTTAATGAAGTGGCATTTGACTGTAGATTTACACACTAGATTTGACAGAAAAGTTCTAGCCTCTGTGAGGCACAGACATGCTGACGTATGTTTAACTCACCAGTTTTGTCAGAGCCAGCTGTCTTTGGACTGGACGTGGAACCTGTGAGATATACAAGACGCTTGTATGAAATAAAAAACCTGCCAATGAGTTGTCATAAAACGTTAGTCTATCCATAATCCAATCGAAAAACACCCACAGCTGACATTAAGGATATTCATATTCATTTGCACTTTTGTTTCAAGCAATTTCAAGCAACTCTTTCCTCTAGCTCAGGGAAACTCATTTAAGATCAAGGGCCACAAAGATGTCCAGTGGACCAAATTTGTATCTTTGCTAGGCCAATTCTGGCCTCTGGAACTTATGTTTGCCTCCATCATTCTTGTTTTATTCCTGCAGAAAATATCTGGATGTTTAGCTGCAAAACGTGCCTCGATGCAAGCACGCCAGGGTTTATCTGAGGTTTTCCACTAAAAACGGTTGCATGACGAGGCTGTGAGCTAATCCTGTCGAAATGAGGAGAACTGCAAAATCGTGCGAACCTTTTCAATTGGATTGTTGCAACAACTGTTTCATCTGTTTGATCTGCAGATGAAGGGTTTATTACAATCAACACAGTTATTGGCATGCAGAGAGCTATGAATAATCATGCTGATTTTGGTAATGTAAGAAATCAGTCCCAGCTTACTCTTCGGGAATGTGCCTTTTGTGGTTTGAGATGCCACAGGACCACCCGGTGCAGGTGTGGTTTGAGGTTTTGTGGTCCTTTTAGTTTCAGTGACAGTCTGACTGCTGGGCTTTGCTCTACCTGTAGTAGCAACACTTATTGCGCTGTTTCCTACAACAAAACAATCAAAACATTTTTTTTATGTTAAGAAAAATAAGAAACTGTGAAGTTTGGACCATTTACAAGGGTTAAAATATCTGAAAGAACTGCTTTACAGTATAGGCTTTATTGTAAAAGGAGTTCAGATAATAGCTCTCACCAGAAGATTCAGTGCTGACGTTCATTTCAGTACTTGAGTTGCTTGTCTTGATGGTAGTTTGATCATAATTGATGGTCGTGTTCATTGTGCTGGTGTTGGTAATGAAGGTGGTGGTGTTGGTGATGAAGGTGCTGGTGGTGTTGGTGATGGAGGTGATAAGATCTGTCTCAAGTATTGTTTTGTTTGCTATGGCGGTCCCCACAACCAAACCTACACAAAAAATAAATATAATGTTCTAATAGGTCAAAACAATATATCAAACCTGATTACCTTATCATTAAATTCAGTTTCAGCATACCTTTTTTGGCCTTTCTATGCATTTCCTCTTGTCTTTCCCCAGTTCCTTTTACCCAACACGCATTAGACCCACTGTTTCAGAGTGCCTTATCATTTAACACAGTATGAAACTCACAGGTAGTACAATACACACCTATAAAACGTCCACTTTCAGCTCATAATCTTAAAAAAATACGACATATATATAGCAAGAAAATAACTTTAATACAATGCATTAACAACTTGGGAAATTACTCCCCAGATGTTACAAAAACTTTCATTTCTACACATTTCTACAGCCATATGTGAAATCGTGCACAAAAGCACTACAGCAGGATATAAGACCTAGTTCCCATTATATAAAACACACGCAGCCTTATTGAACTGAATCTTCCTGTGTGTTAAGGCAGCGTGCCCGAGAACCTTTTTATGCACACAGTGGTTTAAGTGCAACGTACAACACTCTCACATTTAATCTGCGAAAACAATGTTCTGTCAGATTATGTGATTTTATTAAATTCACATTGTAAAAATTACGATCTGAACCCAGATGGAAGAATTTCTATTGAGGGACACACCCCATTCTCATTCACACACACACACACACACACACACACACACACACACACACACACACACACACACACACACACACACACACACACACATTTATATATATTGTTGAAAACACGCAGTTCTTTGAATCTTTGGGCTGTCTTTCTGTGTGAAATTGGAAGGGGGGTAAAGAATGTGGTTTTATCTCTTCTGCCCAGACACCTAGTCTCCCTCCTATGGCCTTCTTCACATGATTCAGCAATAAAACATTCTCAAGAAAACAGTGTCAGACATTCACAGCTGATCAAGGATACAGAGTAATGCACATTTTGTCTAATGAACTACAAATGATTATGTTTCTTTTATTCAAGAGTATAATAGAGACTAAACTACATACATAGCACACCATTAGAACTAAAGGATAATATATGGCCTGCAGCTGTTAAGCTAATTTACTACATTGACTACTGGTCATAAAATGGCATATGTTTAACTACTAGTCTTTAACAACAATATATATATATATATATATATATATATATATATATATATATATATATATATATATACACACACATATATATATATATATATATATATATATATATACACACATATATATATATATATATAATATCTGTATGTATAATATAATATAATATAAACAGTCTTACCCAGCATAAAGAAGAAACCTGATGGCATTGTAAGTCTGTTGGATGGCAGCAGCAGCTGGAAAAGCCAAACAGAAATAAATATAAAGTATCCGTATTTATATGCCTCCTGTCTAAAGGTTGTGCTTTCATATGCAGCGGTTCTTCCTTAATGCTTCAGAGCATTGCATGCCTGTACAGAAAAAAGAGGATCAACCAAAACTCTGACCACATTACTTGAAATAGCGGCGTTGCTCAAACGCCGTAGACGAGAAGAAACGTTGTTGCTCTGTTGCTTCAGAGGCGACTCTCTTCGCAGACCTGCTGCCACAAAACTCTGTTTGTTCCCCATAAACCTAAAGCTGTGAACAACAAAGCAGAGTGACACCTGTTGCCGACTGTGAGCGAACATCTCACTTCAGATTCACCTCTTTAGACCTGGGAACTTATGTTTCGGTGTATTTTCTCCAAGCAGTTAACACCTGCATGTGTTATTCTGGGGAAACTGTGTGTTTCTAAATATAAGCCTTTTCACCAATTGTTCATTATTGTCACTTCTGGCTTATGCTCACTAGATGTCACTGTGACTAAGGGGATAATGCAGGAAAAAGGTGCATCTTTTCTGATGGAAGCTTAATTATGTAGTAAAAGGGCATACAAAATGCATGAATAAAAAAAAAAAGTTAGGTTTTTCCTGCAGTTTGTCAAGGGGGTAAAGGCATGTTTGTGGTAATAGCAGAGTCCAGTGGTCTGACAGTGATGTTTTTGATTATAGTGAGAGTGGAAGATTGGGTTATTTGCTGATTAAGAGAGATGAAAGATTGATTTTGCACTTTAACATTGTCCTATGTTAATGTCTTTGAGGTTTTCGGACTGTTGGTGACTTAAAACTTAACGTTTGAATCTCCACGAGCCTCGATCTCCACGAGCTCCAGGAAGCTCGTGACTGTATTTGTTGCCATTCGTCATACAACCAGATGACAACCCATACCATCACCGAAAGCAATCTTTTCTTTCTGTATTGCCACCATGTTTTTGGTTGCTTCTGAATGTGTGCGCTATTGTGCAAGTGCGTGAGCCTGACTTGCCTTGTGTTGCGAAGGCGCATGTGTGCTCAGCCTTGTGGGTTCATTTATTACTGTTTATTTCCCCCCATGCCAGCGGTAATCAGCAGCAGGATTAGCGTTAACTGCCACCCAGTCACTGGCAGGCTCCACGTGGGCCGCTGCGCCCCCCTCCCCCTCCCGTCGACCGGGTCTCTTCTGGACCCACTAATCCTGCAGAAAAACCCATGTCTGGCTTCCTCTCTGGGCCACCTATCGCCACATCACAGAGCCCAGGCAACAGCATCAGTCCCGGCCTAGTGGATGAGCTAATCGCGGAGAGGAGAGGAGGAGAGGAGAGGGCATGTGTGTGTGAGAGACACGGAGAGGGGAGAGAGCTGGACCACCCACCCAGAGGATTCAGAGGCACAGGATTCACAGCCCATTCTGTTGACCTGCCACACCGCCCCAGCTCTGGGCAAGGCCCTCCCCAATTGTTCCGCCTGCTAACATGAGGACGGGGGTTAGAGGAGGGGGGGGTGGATGAGCAGTAAACAGTGGGCTGAGCTTCTCTCCTTCAGCGCACAAAGGGGCTGAATTGTGTCGGACTGGAGCACTTTTTAGAGTGGCCCTGCCATGGGGCCTGAATGAAACATCTGTGGAGGCTGAGCCCGAGGGAGAAAATGCTATTTTGCTGTTCAACCACACTGACAACCTGTTTTCTCTTTCTTGCCCCCCCCCCCCCCCCCACACACACACACACCACCACCACCACCTCCCCTCACTGTTATTTCTCCCTTGGCCTTGTAAAACTATTCATACTGTATACTCGCATTTGCCAAGCAAGTTACAGAGAAGTAACAGTACACGAGAAAGAGAGCGTGAGCGGTGGCCCGAAGGTTTGGTTGGACATGAAGTCAATTCTTTTTTTCTTTTTCTTTTTTTTGCAGTTTTCTTATATGTTTTTGATGCAGGACGTGATGTCCTTTTTTGTATGGAATTATATTTTACTTTAAAAAAAAAAACCCAACAACATAAAAAAAAGGACAGCAGCTTCTGTCTATGAGTTGTAGCATACCTTTGTGTGTGACTGGAGGTTCTCCATCTAATATTACCTTGTAATACACTTGAGGTGACTGTTGTTGTGCAATATAGATATTAAAAAAGACAACTTAAAGAATTTCCTCTCATATATATGGTGACTAAAGTAACGCATGGAGGATATTTGCTCTCCTCAAAAAATGCTGCAAGTACATGCATCCATCAGCATCACCTCTGCAAGGCCTCCTCCCCTGACGGAGATCCCCCCACAGTCCACCCCGCCTCCCCTGACACACACACACACTCTGCTTGGGTTCCCCACAGTCCAGCTCCACCATGTGAAGCTCAAAGAGAGAGACCACTGAGACATTTCAGTTTAATTGAAGGGGAAACAAAGATCCCCGCTTATTTCCTGGTCACCCATTTTCTTTAATCAATTTCCTCTCTTTGGTCCTATATCATCTGTAATTACTTTCCCTTTCCCGCCCCTTGTGGGTTCCTCTTGCAGCAAAAGGTCTACACACACACACACACACACACACACACACACACACACACACACTTATTGCTAACCCCCTACCGTAAGCAGGCAATACCTTCAGCATCAATACTCGTTGCCCCCCTTTGGCTGCTCCAGCCTGAACAATGAAGAAGGCCCACTGGCTCCAGAACCCCACTAAGCAACCCCTGACCCTGCCCACCTACTCTACTAAACGACAACACACACACACACACACACACACACACACACACACACACACACATACACACACACACACACTGAGGTTCATGTGGCATGTACTCTCATACTGAAGTCGCAGACATTGTCTCACACACACACAAGTCACACGAGCCTGAAGTGAATGGAGCGAGGGAGAGGGCGAGGGGGGTGGGGGTAGGTTTGGGAGGGGTTAGGCCCACTTTAAATACCAGCTCAGCTTGTAATCGCTGGAGTTTGAACTTAGAAGACTTCTTATGCTAAGAGGTCAAGAAGCCAGAACACTCATTCGCTCCTTTCTTTCTTCCCTGCTGCCCTCTGTCAGTCATCTCACTCAAAGGGTCTCGCTGAGCCGTTTAACCGGTTACATACAGTTACACCAGCGCCGAAACCCTCAGGAAACCGTCGGCATGGCGATTTCAACAAGAGCACACGAGACGTGAGACAAATTCATCGTGGCAAAAGCTCGGCTACCTCCTGAGCTCGAGCACCACAAAGTGAATCTTCTGCCAAATGGAAATTTTCAGGGAGCACTGAGCTCTGTTTGTGAAGAGTTACCAGAGGAATTCGTTAAATGTAAGACTTCCACGCCAACCGGGAATATGAAGACAATGCCTGTAAATGTATCCATCTAGTGTTGCAACAGCTGCTTACCTCAGGACATTTTGTTTACATCTGGTAGAGGGTGGATAAAAATGCCCTCCAAATTATACACCTTTATTGGACTTCACGTTTCCCAAATATGACCACCCAGAGAACATAGCCCATACCACCCACACACTATTGGGTGGATTTATCACTCAGCTGATGAATGAAAGCAGCTTACAGTATTGGCATTGTTGCCTTGTTTGATGGGGAAGTGAAACATCAGAAACACCTATATAAATAGGCATTAGGCATTTGAAAGGAAAAGGTGTTGTCTGCCAGCAACAATTGCAGTGTAACTGCCAAAAAAGGTTCTAGTGCAATATTGTAATAAAGAAAAAAGAGCTGAGGTGGAAATGTTAGTGTGTGGTACAGGCAGGTCTAATACAGGCTTCCAGTTAGTAAGCAGCATCATAGGATTATACAGATAAGGGGTAAACGGTGCCAGCCAGAGGATATGAATGCCACCATGGCTGATTAATATTTTCACACTGTGTGTGTGTGTTTTAAATAAGTATAAGAGCTTGTGAGGTGCTAACGGAAAAAAAGACTTTAAATTAAATCTTTCCCTCACTCTGCCATTCTCTTTCCTCTCCAAAAGTTAACCCTTTATTAGTGAATGGAGGCAGAAACAAACCATACCTAATGTCAGATACGCGAGCGGGCATGGTTAGTTCAGGTAACTACTGGACCTGACCAATGATGTGTTTAAGTGTCTGTTGTCCTGTCTACCTCCTTTATCCCCACTTGATTGTAGCAGATGGCTGCCCCTCCCTGAGCCATTTTCCGCTGGATGTTTCTTCCTGTTAAACGTACGTTTTTCCTTTCCACTGTTGCCAAGTGCTTACTCATAGGGAGTCCCCTCATTGTTGGGTTTTTCTCTCTATTATTGGAGGTAGCTTACAATATAAAGCACCTTGAGGAGACTGATATTGTGTTTTGCGCTATATAAATAAACCTGAATTCAACTGAATTCAATTGAAAGATTCTCTTATATTTAGATCTGACATGGTGCTGTGATTTATGAATGTATTAGCTTCTTTTCATTCATTTCATCTGGTTTAAAAGTTTGAATGCCTCCAGTGCATCTGAGAATGTGAAAAGAACTTGTGGTGTAGATTCAGGGACAACTGTAATATAAGGCTAATGCCTACTCACATAGTAATTCCCATTCACTTTTAAAACTACATTCCAGCACTATGTCTAACTTCTGATGGATTTCAATATTTGAAAACACACAGTGAACAGACATTTTATTACTTGCACCTTGCTAGAACCGGATTGGACCAGTTTTGCATTTAAAACTGCCTTAAATCTTGGCGGCACAGCTTCAACAAGGTGCTGGAAGCATTCCTCACAGATTTTGAAGGTTTGACGTGTTGTGCCTTCAGAGACACTCCTCTGCATGCTTTGGTGGTGATGAGTGGTTATTTGAGTTACTGTTGCCTTCCTATCAGCTCGAAGCAGTCTGGCCATTCTCCCCTGACCTCTGACATCAGTAAGGCATTTCCGCCCCAGAGAATTGCCATTCGCTGGATGGTTTCTCTTTTTTGGACCATTGTGTGTAAAACCTTGAGATGGTTTTGTGGGGAAAATCTCAGCCGATCAACTTTTTCTAGACCAGTCCATCAAGTGCCAACAACCATGTCATGTTCAGCGCCGCTTAAATCAACTTTCTTCCTCATTTTGATGCTCAGTTTGAACTTCAGCAGGT